AGATTCCAGACTTGGGAATCTCTGGGACAGCTCTACCGTGTCCTCCGAGGGCTACTGTAGGTCAGAATCTGTGGGATGGCCCTGGTTGATGAACATACTCATAACTGTATTTCCAAATTCTCGAAAAGAAAACCATTCCCTAAGTTTACATTTGAATGATTTTGTAATTTGTGGAGTAATAAGTTGTGCTGAAGTAAATCTTCCACAGAAAGCTGGGCCGGGTAGCTTGATGGAATACCAAATCGGTCTCCTTGGAAAACAATCCCTGGCTCCACGGCCTGGGCCATTCGACTGCAGAGCGAGTCCGCAGCGGCTGCCCGAGGTCGTTGACAAACAAGAGGTGTCTTCTGACACTTTGCTGCACAGAATAATTAAACCTCCAAAGCAGGCCTGTATCTTTCGGGGAAATCAGAGAGAAAAGGTGGCATATGAGACTTTTTCCCCCATGTTCTTAGTAATTGATGCTGGTCTTTCTGCTTTCATATCCCGGTTCCCTTTATTTCAGCAGTTCTGAAACTAGACAGCAGGTTGTTGGCACTGATTCTGAGGACCTGACAGCATTTGGGAAGTCCTGAAATAATGAGAAAGTTGATGTGAGTGCCCCTGTCGTGATCAGCGAAGGCAACTTGGAGTCCTGTCTCTATGATTTGTAATTAGCCAGAGTAGTTTAGGTATTGACTTGGTGGTGGTGGTGGTGTGGCACCGAATCTCCATTATCTCTGAGGTATGCCTGGAGAGAGGAGGGTGTGTGTGTGTACACACACACACTGACATGCACTCATCTCATTTAAACAAATAATACCAGCACTCATAGGGCGGAATAGTAGCTGTAGTATGAATTACATGTGAAAGGCTTAGCACTGTGCCTGAGCCAGAGTTGGCACTCAGCAAATACTGTTCGGTGACATGAAGCTGGCTGTCCTCCTAGCAGCCCTGTGTCCATCCCGGCTCTCCATCCTGTGCTGTCCCCACAGTCTTCACTGTACCTGAGTCCACAGTTAGCCACTGTGTCAGCCACACTCACTGGGACTCTTCCAATGTCCTCCAGGGACTGACTGCTTCTGACAACGTGCTCCAGGTATGTGAGATAAAGGCTCACCATTCTCGCATCTACAGAGCACTCTGGCTGCCCTCTCTCTGAGACACATTTGTTTGTTCTTTGGGCAGGCCATGGGATAGTCAATACTCTTCACCAATACCAAGTTCAAAGGCATCCATTGTTCTTTTGGTATTTAAAATGCTGATGGTATAGCTTTCAACATCACAGTAACATGTAAGCCACCACAGGACCACAAATGATAGATGAGTGGTAGCAGAAAATATTAATGACAGTGAAAAAAGAAGAGGAAAGTGTGGGCGCTGGACTGGAGAAATGCAAATGCACTGAAAGCCCAGGAGGTTTGTGGCCTGCGTTCTCTGATAGAGAGATTGAAGCCACACCACTAAGCCATAAATGTACAAAGCAGGGGTGATATGCAATGAACAGAAGGGTCCTGTGATGTGGGGTGATGGTAGTGATGGGGCCTGGGCCCCTCTGAGGAAACAACACTAATATCTGAAAGATGAGAAGGAGCCCTGTGAAATCATGTGAAGTGTGTTGCAGGACAAGATATAGCTCATGGTAAGACTCTAATTAGGGTAGAATCTGGAATATTCTGGAACCTTCCATGGGAGGGCAGGATGAGGTCCTGTGCCCCTTGGAGAGGACAGGAAGGGCTGGGGGTCCCAGTGCAGTGGGGAGGTACTCAGAGGCAGGCAGAGCGTGACATCAGAGCAGGACCCAGGTGAGTCTGTGATGCCTCGGCCCTCCCACCACCTGGAGAGCTGGGAGCTGGACCGTCCAGCCCTGAGACAGAGGCCAGAGTGAGGCCCCCACAGAACACATGTAGTTAGGATGTATGTGTTCATGTGCCAGCTGGTTCATGGCCCCATTCCTCTGGGACCATGGACTCATGGAGTTTACAGATGGAAAAGTCCCTCAGAGCTCACACCATCTAACTTCCCTCCTATTCAGACCTGCGTGAGGTGCAGGAAGGTGATGGGCTTTCCCCAGGAGAACCTGGGTACCGCTTCTTCTTGTCGTGTCCTGTAGAACTGGAACCGACCCATGCTGGCCCTCCAGCAGGTTTTCAGAGCAAGGAAATTGCCCATGATTCTCCCTCGGAGCTGTGGTGGATTTGAACCGTGTGCCTTTTACTTGGCAGCACAGCTTCTTACCACTAAGCTGCCAGAGCTCCGTGCCATTTCTCGTAAGGGGTCTTTCCCCGTGTCTTTTCTCCTGCTTGTTTTCTTGCCTGCTCTTTCTCTATGGGTTCCTCCATTCCCTCTCTTCATGTCCTCTTCCTCCTCCTCTTCTCCTTCTTTTTGTTTCTCCTCCTCCTCTCTCCTGCCTTCCTGTCCTCTCCTCTGGTGTAGCTCAGAGGCTGTCGCAGTGGATTGAAGCACAGCACAGATGGTGGGGATGGTGTGGGACCCGGCAGCCTTTCATCCTGCTGTACTGAGTCAGAGCCAGCTCCATAACAAAACAACATAGAAAGGGGATCGTTGGTCCCGGCGCCTTAAAAAAAAAGACCCAACACCAGTAACAATAGAAATTTCAACAGACCAGCAAACAAGTGCTGGCAAGAGTGTGGAGAGATTGGAACCCTTAGTCACTACTGGTGGGAGTGTAAAATGGTGCAACCACTGCGAAGGGCTAGCTGGTGCTTTCTCAAAAGGTTGGGAATTGAAATACCATTTGACCCAACAATTCCTCTCCTGGGAATATACTCTAAAGAAACCAGAGTCATCACCGAAACAGATGTATGTACACCTATGTTTATTGCTGTGTTACAACAACAAAGAGATAAAAGCAACTCAAGTGACCATCAACAAATTGATAGAAGAACTATTATATTCACACTGTGGAATACTATGCAGCACTGAAAAGTAAGGACCTCTTAAAGCATTATACCACATGGGTGACCCAAGAGGACATTTACTGAATGAAATATCTCAGTCACAAAAGGTCAAGTACTGCATAACACCACTATTCTAAAATAGAACTGATGTGGGGAGTTGGGGGGAAACCTAGGAAAAGAGAAATAATGAACATTTCATTGGGACAGATGAAGGAAAGAACTGTTTAAAAGGAATATATAATTAGGTATTATGTGTATGACAACAATTCAGAAGAAGAGATGTTTTGCAAAATGGCCTAGGGGAGAGGGAGGAAATTATACAACAATGAATGAGTAAAAATCCAATTTTTGTGTAACCTTTCATTAAAATCACAATAAAAATTAAAGATTTAACTCACACAAGTGCTGTCACTGTGTCTGAGCTGTAAAATCAGCAGGGTTTTCCCCCCAGACTTTGTGAGAACCACTCAGAAAGGACGAAATCCTCTAATGCCCTGGCTGGGGTGGGACTGTGGTGGGATGTGCTCGGCCTCCTGTTTCAGCTTCATTCAATGAGAGGAAACACAACACTAGCAGTTAACTCTCTGGAGCCCCAAAGAAGACTGCAGTTGTATTTCTTTTGACTTAAGTGACATTTGGGTAACAATGAAAAGCAATAGAGTTTGTTTCTTTTTCTTCTTAGGCAGAAATCTTAATTGATCTTTGTCCTCCTGCACTAAGTCAAGTTTTAAAGCCTTGTACTTTATTGTGCTGCTATTAAACTGTCCGAGTACTCTGTCAGCAGTCTTGCTCTCAGCCTCCAAGACTTCATCGCCCAGCCCCAGGCCTCCTGATTGAGGTCATATCTTTCAAACATGAAGCAGGTTTCTCCTGTTTAACATCCATCTAAACCAGCTTTAAATTGTGTCTCTTTGTTCTGCAAATCTGTCCTTGTGTCACTCCCCCTAACATTATGCAATAAGATTCCAATGTTGTTAACAACTGTGTCACTAAATTATTACTAAACATTAAAATAACTAAAGAGGTTATGACTAAACTCCGTTATTAAATTACAGCCATTTGATGTCTGGAGGAGCCCTGGTGGTGCTGTGGGTAAGGCATTCGCTTGTTAATCAAATGTCAGCAGGTCAAACTCGCCAGCCGCTGCTCCGGTGCACGCTGTGACCGTCTGAGTCCGTCCAGACGGTAGCGTGGCAGATCCTGTGGGGCGCTCGGCTCGGTCCTGTACGGCTGCTGGGGGTCAGAATTAACTGAGGACAATGGGTTGAAAATCATCATGAAACTGGAGAGTGATTTTCCTGATGTTTGACCTTTCTTTTTCACCTTTGACCTTGAAACTGGCCAGGTCTGTGACCCATCAAGCTCTCAATCATCAAGCACTCCTGGGTCCTTTCTGTCTCTGCTCCACCTCACCCCACGCCCGAGGTACTTGTCCTCATCAGGCTATCTTGTGCGGTGATTTCCTGGATCTTCTGAGCCGCAGGCATCCGTGTACCTTGTCCTTGTCTTTGTCACTGTCCTTTGCAAGCCTGAACTCGGTGCTGCCGCCCTCAGGCCGCCTACAGTGTGAGTTCGGGTGAGCAGGCTTTTCTGTTCTCTGAATTGACCTGAGTGTGAAGGTATCAGCGTGCCCCCAAACCCCATTTGCTTCTGCAGCAGTGCTGAACTCTGTCCTTGAAGATTTTAACGAGGGCTGGTTCTTACACCTGCAGGAGAACCAGTGGAGACGAGGCTGGGGATCCTAAATTATTTTCCCAACAGGTGACTCAGGCATCAGTTCTAGTCTGCAGGGACTAGTGATTGTCAGATGTGCACTTTTTCCCAGCTCAGAAATGCTCCTGTACCATTGTTCTGTGAGCACGTGTGTGCACATGACATGCGTGTGTGTTGGAGGGAGGTGGGGAGGGGAGTCCACGGACCCTGTGGAGTTTGACACATGCACGTCCTGCCTGGCTGACCTGGCAGGTGGGAGGCTCTTGAGGCCCCATGTGAATGAGGAGGGGTCAGAGCAGGACAGCTGCCTCCTGGCCACAGCGTTCACCAACAGCAGGTCGTGTGATGCTACACTCCTCATTCTGTGTTATTTCTGTCTTTCCGCAGAGGTCTCATTGCCAGCGGCTTCACGGAAACCCATTATCAGCAGGATGGCACTGATGTCTCCCTCACCCGAAATTACACGGTAATTTCTCTGTGCCCAGCCCCGTCGCGCTACACAGCCAAAGCTTGGCCTTCCCGGTGTAGCCGGCTTGCCCAGAGCAGAGTCACGGGTCCAGATTCGCAGCATGGCTCCACGAAGAGCCTTGGGTCATTCAGTGTCAGACAAGACACCATAACCTGAGAAAACTCAGCCTCCACCAGGTGGGAGCAGGAAAGTCTCGTAGGCCTGGCTCTGGTGAGACTCACCTTGAAATCACCTTCCGAGGACACCGGAGCACTCAGTTGGTTGTATTCTTAGTTTTTAAAAAAGCAAAGTAAGCCCAACTTTAAAAACCCCCACTTATATCTGTGCTGAATGTCAACTAGGTAAATCTTACAGAAATTCAAAGGAAAAGTGATTCTTCTCCGTGTCTTCAGTGAGCCCACAGTGTGGCTGTGTTATGTTTGCTGTTGAATCAGCCTTTATTGTATTTAAAGTTTCATATGAAACATGGTCATCTCTCAGATGTGTCCTGCACACCCTTTGTGCTGGGCCTCATGTAAAGTGAACAAGACAGACTAAAGAACTATTCTTTTAACTGGATTTAAGTTTAGAGGGAGGCTTGAGATGGCCAGGAGATGCTCGGTCAAATATGGTGCTTGTCCACAGTGCATTTTGCCTTCTCCATATCGTGCCACACATGATCATCTGTTTGACACTGTCACTTAGGCACCTTCAGCTTCCAGCAACATCGTGGAGTAAGCTGGAGTCGTTCTTCCAGCCCTAGAGAAGATAGATATTTTGGATGAAATAGAAAAATAATAGAAGAATGTTTGTTAATGCCTGGTCATGCTTGAAAGGGGCCCTGCAGTGGAGTGGTAGTGTGTTAGGCTGCTGAGACATCCATAGTTCAAATCCACCAGTTCCTTTATGGGACAAAGATGAGCCGTCTCCTCCCATAAAGATTTACAGCCCTGGAGACTCATTGAAGGATTCACTGTGGGTCAGAATCAACTCGACAGTACGTTTGGTCAAGCTTGGAAGCTGTTCAGCTAAGTGCATCTCCAAGAGACCTAAAGAAACCAAAGTCCCACCCAGGAGCTGGTGAGGCAGGGACAGAAGAACCTAAGAGCCGATTCAGTACGCAGACAAGGGGCTTGGAATAAAGAATTTAGAGAGTGGAGGGGAAATGGTCAGCCTCGATTCCATACCCAGACTATTTACAAGAGGTAGGCATGTTCCTAGAGACAAGAGAAATCACGCCCCAGAGGCTCTACCAGTAGTATCTTTGTGTGAAGCAACTTGAACGCAGAGGGATAGGATTGAAGAGACGATGGTAAAGTAGGAAACACGTAACTGAGTAACTCTGAATTGGCTGTTCTCAGCAATAATTATAGCAATAATGACTAAATTTGGGTGGCCGGGCGAGGGAGCAAAGAGGTGATGGAACAGGATATGTGGGCATTTGCATGTGAGAATTCCCACCTCTGGGTCTCCAGGAGAGCTGTTTCCTCTCTGAAAAGGGACAGGAAGACACTGGCCTTGGACTGAGGAGCAAGAATGGAAGTTATACATCAGATGTCCTGGATTGAAAAAAGGTTTCATACACCTCACGTGTGTATGTTGAAAATGAGAGTGAGGCAGGTCTGCATTTTTAGAGATGATGTTGCTTGCTTTGAGTCGAGCACAACTCATAGTGACCCTATGAACAAAAGGCCTAAAGCCCCTCTACTACTATCAACATTTCTCAAAGTTCATAGTAGCAGACTCAAAATTCTCAGTCAAGATATCAACCTCAAAATGGGTACCACACCCTAGGCTGAAGCCAGCCCCACAGAGTGGAGTATTTCTACAACCTTGGCCACATGAATTATCTTTATAAAAATTCAAAATAATCCTAAATATCACAAACGTGTCTGAACTCAAAATTATCGCTTGTTACTTGGATGACATAATAACAAAGTGTCCATTGCTAATAACAAAGTGTCCATTGCTGACCCAAAAAACGGAACCTCTCTGAGGGTTCGAATCTACCAGCAGTTCTGCTGGAGAAAAAGGGACAGTCTCCTCTCAGGCTGTTTGAAGTCACTAAAAAGTGGCTGAAAAGTCAACTGTGAGTCAATTCTGACTCCATGGCAATGAGTTTTCCCCCCTGTAAAGTAGAAAAGAGATAGAATAAAATTACTAATCCGTCTTGCTCAGAAACACAAGATGAGAAAACAACCATGGGTAACATTTAAATGTTTTCAAGAGTATGATAAAAACTATCCTACACAGACCTAATAAAGAAACCCAGAATAAAGAAAGAAGGGAGAATGTTGAAGCAGAATGTGAGGGAGATCCTTTGACCTTAAGAAGGACATGAGTCTTGGAGAAAATTCACCAAGTTGGGAGCAGGAATAAAAAAAGTGGACCCACGATGCAAGAAGACAGAACTCAAAGTTACTGGGGAGGGGGAATTTTTTTTACGAAAGGGTAACTAATAGACTGACTACAGACTTCTCATTAGCAACTATGGAATAAGACTTCAGACAACAGAAGGGAAATTGTCAAACTCAATTCCAGACCCAAATAATATTATAAGAAATAGACATTTTCATACAAAGACAAGAAAATTTATTTCCTGGAAGTTCTGCCAAAGAATATCTTTGTAAAAAGCATCTTGAACACAAGAGAGAAGGGCAGGATTTCAGAGCCAATGGTAAAGCAAGAGATTTGTAATGAAATAAATCTAAATTAGCTATTTCAGATAATAATTAGAGCAATGGTGAATAAATTTACGTAGCTGAAAACAAGATAGGTGAATAGATTTAGTAATTTTAAGAAAATTAGACTGTGCTAGAGAATAATAGAGGTATTGCTTAACTTGGGATTTTTATAAATGATGGATAAACCTTAGCAAATTTAAGTATAACAATTGTGAGAACAGAAAAACATAATGTGTGATTTCAAATAAATAGATGGTACATAAAAATTGAATACATCAGCCCTCTGGAGTTAGGAAGAGCCTAGTGGCCTAGTAGATAGGGAGTTGCATTCCCAACCTAAAGGCAGATGGTTTGAATCCACCAGTGTCTCTGCCTGTGTAATTTATAGCCTCTGAAGACCTGCTGGAGGGTCTCCTATGAGCTGATTCCAGCTCGACAGCAGTGAGTTGTTGAGAGGATAGGAAAGAAGGGAAAGAATCAAGGCAGCAGCAGAATAAACATAAAACTTGCACCAGTATCATAAGAATGAATGAGTCTATCAGAAGACACATTCATTTCATGTTAGTAGATTGAGCCAGTTTTTAAAAATTAAAACAACTTCTCAGCTTAGAATTTAGGATAACATTCAAGTATCTAAGTTTTTGAAAAATTACCCTGTTAATACAAGCAGATATGAACATAAACTCCCATGTTGTTGTGATAGGCTGTTGAATTGACTGTGACTCAATGTTTTCATTGTTAGACAATCCCCCACGTCCACAGTCCACAGTACTATGCATTTCTTTTTCTGTAATCTTATCATGAAAATAATACGTAATCCTGTATTCCTTTTAAAGCGTTCTCTCCTTCATTTGTTTCAATGCGGTATACATTATTTATCCTCTCTTTTCTTAGGTTCCCCCCAACCCTGATGTCAGTCCTATTTTACAACAGGGGCACTATGCAGTATTTGTTCTTTTGTGACTGAGATATTTCACTCAGTGTAATGTCCTCCAGGGTCACCCATTTTGTATAGTATCTGTTTTCCTTTTTCATTTTCTCCTAGATTATTTACAAAATTCAAATACATTGTTTTCAAGAACATTTTTTTTCAATTTCCTTCACACACACCCCCCCAACAAATTGTACAATTAATCTTCCCTTCCCCCAGCACATCCACATCCCTCTGCTTCCACCCTCTGACACCCCTCCTGGATCCTTATACTCCTTCTACAATAATAGTTATACAATCTTTATCCTTGTGGGACTGAGTTAGTTTACTCAGCATAATGTTCTCCAGTCCCTCCCAAGTTAGGTAATAATTTACAAATCATTGCTCTTGCATGCTGCATAGTATTTAAATGTGTAAATGTACTATAATTTATCAATCTGTTTGTTTGTGGTTGGACATTTGGGCTGTTTCCATGTTCTTGTGATGGTGAATAATGCTGCTATGAACATTGCTGTACAAATCTCCGTTTGTGCCTCAGTTCTCATTTTCTCAGGGTATATTCCAAGTAGTGGAATATCTGAGTCATATGGAATTTCTATGTTCAGCTTTTTGAGGAAGTGCCAAACTGCCTTCCAGAATGGTTGCACCATTTTACAATCCCACCAGCAATGTAGAAAAGTTCCTTTCTCGCCACATCCTCTCCAATGTTTATTACTTGCTGCCCTGTTAAACTTTGCCACTGTTACTGGAGTGAGATGGTACTTCATTGTGGTTTTGATTTGCATCTCTCTTATTGCCAATAATTTGGAGCATTTCTTCATGTGTCTTTTTGCCATTCATATCTTCCTCTGTGAAAATTCTTTCCATGTCATTTGCCCATTTATAATTGGGTTATCAGACTCTTAAGGACCCTGTAGAACTGCATGTTAGGGTTGCCAAGGCTGTGACATTAAGAGAAGCATTTGAGGGGGCTGAAAGTCAGGTGCTTCCGCAAAACCCGCTTTTTGGAATTAATCAACCTGATACTATTTGTTGATCATGATTCTCTCTTTGAATCTGTCTTCAGCTGGCAGAGAAACTGGGGGATGGGTTATTAGATAACCCCAAATCTCCAGAAATAGCTGTTGTTCTTACTTTTAGAAAGATCACGGTTTTTCTTTGCGTTCGGTGGCTAACAGAGTGTACCCATTCCTTTGAGGGCCTGTCTGCACTACCAGCCACTTTACTGTAAAGATTGGGATCAGTAATTTTGTTCGCAAATAAAATCCACAGCCCCAAACAGCTGTTCACCCCCACCCCGCACCCATGGGGCCGTCCGAGGCCTTGGATTCTCTTTTGTGGGGAGAACAGACTCAGCCTTTTGGGTTGTTTTCCCATTAAACTGCCTGGAAAACAAAAGAGAA